ACTCAAGGGGCCAAAGAGCCGCAGTTTGCCGACCACTGGTATAGGACATAACTGCCCTTGTCCCTCCAGATGTATGAGTCTGACGGCTCCGTCATGGTCTATTGGCACGCGCTGGACTCCAGAGATGCCTCTCCAGGTACCTGCAGGACTGCGTTGGGTGTGGGTAGGGAGTGTTTGCTGGGGCCGGAAGAAGCACTATTTCTAATAGTTTTCCCCTCTCATACTCAGTACAGGCTATGTTTGCCCGAGGAATTGCTTCCTGTGGCCATTTCATCTGTGTAGGTGAGAGGCCCAAGGGCAGGGCATTGGTGTGTATGTGTGTGTGTGTGGGGGGGGGGGTGGTGCTGGGGTATAAAGGTGTGGGCTTTGATCTGGAAGATGCTGCAGGTCTGAGGAAATTGTGGAGGGTTCAAGGGAAGGGTGGAAGTGAAGGGGGCAGAGACTCCAAAGAGCCATGGACGGGTTCAGAGGGGCAGGGTGAGGGAGAATAAGGGTAGTCATGGAGGGGCAGGACTGTTGGGGCAGTGAGAGATGGGTTTGTTACTAAGGCTCTGGGACGGAGGGAGTTCTGAGTGTGGTGGCTGGAGAAGCAGGAGGACTAGGACACACTGCTTTTGTAGGAATGTGGTCAGGCCGGGTACTGGTATTTGACATACCAGCCAAAGGTCCCAACATCGTACTGAGTGAAGAGCTGGCGGGGCATCCGACATCAGTCACAGACATCGCCAGCGAGCCTGCCCAGGAACAGGTGAGTGAAAGCCCCTTCTCATTCCCGTGAGCCTGGGGTCCTTCCCCACCTTGGGAGGCCGGAGACCTGAATGCAAGTCTTGGCTCTGCCACTAAGCAGCTGGATGACTTTGGGCAAACTGCTGCCCTTTCCTAGGCTTCAGCACCTCAGGTCCAGTGACGAAGCCAGAGATATTTCACATGGCATTTCAGTAGTCCACTAACACTTCTCATGCTCATGTGCATCGAGGAGTTGGGACAGATGGCTTCTAAGATGCTTGCCAGCTCTGACATGCACAGCTTCCTTCCAGCACCACCCTCTCCAGGAAGTCTGCCCCCTGTTCCAGCTCTCACTGATCTCCCTTAGCTGACCCCTGAATTGGTACTGTCTTCTACGAAAACTCTTGAATTGCAGACCTCTTGAGAATGGGGTTTGTATCTTCTAATTCATATTCTCTACTGAATCTGGCCCAGAGCCGGGCCCATGGGCTACGTTGGCTGCCTAGGGCTGGGAGTCGAGGCCGAGCCTAGTTATGACTGGCTTACTGTAAGACCTCCAGGTCATAACACTATGGCCTCAGTCTCATCATCCACCCGCTGAGTGCAGTGATATACTCCCTCCTAACGTGGGGAGGGGGGGCGGGGAGGGGGGGCAGGAGGGGGACTGTGAGGGGTGCAAGGAAAGCATTTTATGCTTCCTGGGGGAACCCTGCTTCCAGCCTGTGAGGGCTCCGTATCTTCCTTTTCCCAAGAGGCCAAGATGCATATACTGCCTCCCTTCCCTGTACACAGGACCCAGCAGGGGAGAGAGGGAAGGGCTGACCCTGCCTTTCCCCTCAGGACTGCATGGCTGACGTCGTGACAGCAGACGACTCAGGCTTGCTTTGTGTCTGGCGGTCGGGCCCTGAATTCAAATTACTGACCCGAATTCCCGGATTTGGGTAGGTGAGGCGAAGGGGCTGAGGACTTCCTGAAGCAGCTGCAGGGTGGGGAGTGGGCTTGGGCGTGGGGAAATCCAAGTGGGGCATTGCCCTTGCAGGGTCCCATGCACTTCCGTGCAGCTGTGGAAGGGGATCGCAGCAGCGGGCTACGGGAACGGGCAAGTGCGTCTGTACGAGACCAGTACAGGAGCTCTGCACGTCCAGATCAACGCCCACGCCCGGGCCATCTGTGCCCTGGACCTGGCTCCGGAGGTGGGCAAGGTCAGTCTCCTCCACCCCTGCACACCCTGGTTCCTGGTGGGGGGATGCTGAGAGGAACTCCACAGGCTCGTCTTTGCCGCTTGGTGAAGCACTCCAACCTGGACCATTTCGTCAGCACCTTCCGACTCCCACTCATCCTCCCTGCCTTTTCTTAACAGCTACTCTCTGCAGCCGAGGACACCTTTGTACACATCTGGAAGCTGAGCAAACGCACAGAGAGTGGCTGCACCGAGGTGGGTGTGGAGAGGGGGGCGGAGGGCCAGCATGGGGCGGCAGGCCCTGAGCAGCCCTCTCTCCCCCAGGTGGAACACTGTCACGGAGAGTGTGTGCCCGACACTCAGGTGTGTGGCGCCCGATTCTGTGACCCCTCAGGCAGCTCCTTTGCTGTGACTGGCTACGACCTCGCTGAAATCCTGAGGTTCAGCAGTGAGTGAGAACAGAAAAGCCCTCCTTCCTCCCTGTGGTGTTTATAAAGTGCCTCCTCCACCCAGCCCGTGTCTAATTACTCAGGTCCAAGTCATCTTTCACGGCCGGCGAACTAAGCTCCAGGGGAGAGGGGAGGGGCAGGTCCAGGCCAAGCAGAGAGGCAACCTGATGTCAAGAGCCAGGCGCCGGCTGCTGTTAAATAACTTTAATGGTTGGTGAAGGAGTCACAGGGAAGGTGTGCTCCCTCCCAGCGCTCTCCAGTGCCATCCTCAAAGCTGGTTAGTGCAGGAGGTAGGGCAGGGTTGGTTCCAGTTTTCTCCCAGGAAGGGTTCAGGGGGGTCCCAGCCAGCCCCGGGAATGAGTCCCTCAGCACCATGACAACCATAGCTTAAGAGGGGCTTCGGCTCCCCATCCCCCACCTACCCCCAGTCCAGCTGAGGAAGGGAGGCCACTGGCCAACCTGCTGCAGACAGCACCGTCTCCAGAGCCCGGGCGCACAGGTCCTCTCCTCTCCTGGCCAGATCCTGTTGCCAGCACCTTCCTCACACTGGTGACTGGAGCCAAGTGCGGGGCGAGCCTTTGCGGCAGAGGCTTCTAGAACGTGGGGATCGGTGCGGGGGGAGAGGGGCAACCAAGCGGGGAGCCTCGGAGGGGTGGTCTGGGGGCACAGCGTCCAGGGAGAATGTTCTGGGGCGCCCCCAGGGCAGGGGGTGGGTCCGAGCTGGGGCCACTGAGGCAGGCGAGCAGGGGCGAGGCAGGGCAGGCTGGTCTGCAAACATGGCTAGCCAGGGTGGGGTCGTCTCCAGCCTCACGCCCTCCCGCTGGGCCAGGATGTCTGTCACTGCTGCGATGTCATCCAGAGGCTCAATAGCTGTGGCACCAGGAAGGGGTTGAGGGGAGGGGGCTAGTCAGAGCTTAGGCCCCAGGTCTACCCAGCCCTGACCATCACCTGTCACTGTAATAGGAGGAAAGCAAAGCCCGGATCTCAGCCGAGACTGCATTATCCTGCAGGAGCAGCCCCTCACCTGGGCCCCCTGGAGCCCCAGGCTCTGATAAGACTATGGGATACAGCAGGCAGGGTGGACACAGATTGGGAGTGGGGATGTGGGTGAAGACATCAAGAGAGAGAAGGAAAATGAAAGCAGTGCCAGGCAAGTAAAGGTCAGAGGAAAAGAGAGGAATCCGCATGCAGAAAGGGAAACAAAAAAGAAGAAATTAGGAAGGAAATCCATGAAATGAATCTGGTTCTTTGGGATTTTGTTTTGAACTTTGGTGGGAGTGGTTCTGAGAAGGTCAGAGGAAAGAAAGGGACACAACAGGACTCGGTGGGACCCGAGTCCCAGGGCTCTGCCTCCGCCCAGAGTGTGCCTTCTGTCTCTTTCCATGGTCTGGGTTCCCTTGACGCCTCCAGCCCCACTTCCCCTCAGCTTCCCGGAGTATACTTGCACTCACCCATCTCATGGTACAAGGACCTCTGCTTGGCCAGTGCTTGGGGTGGTTTCCGGGGAGCCGGGGTTTCAATTTTCATGATTTCATCACAGCACTGCTTCCACTGGCCTGAAGGGAGAACACTGATTGGGGGTGGAGAGGGAGAGGACTGAGGGCCAGGCTACCCTCTCCCCTGCTACATTTCCTTCCACGTATTCTTGAAAGAGAGGCCTACAGTAAGAAATCACAAATGCCAGTTCCTCCCAAAAGTTCAATCCAGCCCCTGGTCTTACTCATGTCGAAGAAAAGCTGCCACAGAGCCTCCATCCAGCTCTGCAGGTCTCCCCGACTCTCTGTCTGAAGGGTGTGTGTCACCTTGTCCTCCCCATATTGGTTACTAATGCTCAGAGTGAAGGGCCGGCCTGTGGTCTGGTCCAGTTCCCCTGCCTGGACTCGAGTATCCTGCAGGAGAAAAAAGGCGTCCGCTTCGAACTCCACGTTGTTACAGAGGTCAGCAGTGACTTCAGGCGGGCTTGATCATCCTGCCTTAGAAAGAGGAGCGTGCCCTAACCGGTTTGGCTCAGTGGATAGAGCCTAGGCCCGCAGACTGAAGGGTCCCGGATTCAATTCCGGTCAAGGGTACATGCGGGCTTGATCCCCAGTAGCGGGTGTGCAGGAGGCAGCTGATCAATGATTCTCTCTCATCATTGGTGTTTCTCACTTCCTCTCTGAAATCAATAAATATGTTAAAAAAAGAAAGAAAGAGGAGCTTGTGGGGCGTTCCCCAAGCCCTGTCATTTGCCTCCTACTGAGCTGAGTGGGAAGGAATGGCCGGAAAGGATTGGGGATGAGACAGATGGCCTTTAGTCAGGGATAGAGGCACACAGAGACAGGAAAAGGGTGGGCAGGGGAAGGCACAGAGGCTGGCAGGCATGCTGAGGCCTAATGTCCCTCACTACTTCCTCCATAAAAGTCAGCAGGAAAGCTAACAAAAGGGCTGGTGAACAGAGGGGGCACTGAACTTGGCCTGGGAGAGGAAACCAGGAAAGGATGGAGTAGATGCAAATGCGAATCTGAGGGGGAAGATGGAAGGTGGATGAAAAACCCTAGACTGGTTATAGAACCCTCTCTGAGAATTGGCTGAGGCTGGAAACTAGAAGGGACAACCCTTTTCCAGTGACGCTGGTCAGGGAGAATGGTCCCCTCATCATTCCTGGCCCTGGAGTTGGGTGGTGCAGTGAGGCCCAGAAGACTTTGATCTCTCTAAGGTCTGCACCCACCCTGGTGGGACCTGAAGGGGAGGCTCCAGGCCCAGGCACCTGGTGGATTGACCATCAGGGGACCCATCACCTTGTTGATCGCAATAGTAAACAGCGGCTCTTTCCCAGTGTCTGTGTCCTCAGGTTGCCGGTAACAGAAGAGGTTCGTGCCTTTCAGGACTCCGTGCACTCGTGCCCAGTCCTGCCGCTCCCCAGCTTGCTGCATAGATACTCAAGGTTTCCTGGGGAATCACACCTCCCAACACCCTCTTCCCAGCCCTCCATCAAGAATCTGCCCCTTTCTGTGCCCCCTCCTGTCTTGCCATCCCCTCCTTCCACCCAGACCTTGGTTTTTCAGTTCTAATTCCCAGGTGACCCAGCTCTCCGCTGCCTTCTCCGTGCTCCCTTCCACTCCTCAGGGGCCCTCACCTGCACCCTGAGGGAGCCACTGGCAGTCGGCTGCGTCATGCAGAGAGGCTGAGCCACCAGGCGGCAACACACGCTGCCATAAAGGGGCAGCCAGGCAGGGTGCTCCTCTGGGCGAGAGGAAGTGCAGAGAGCGGGTGGAGAATGAGAAGGGGGTCATCCAACGGCCCCTCTTCCTACCATCCAGCGTGCTCCCCCCACACAAACTCACCATGGCTGGCGAGAGTGAGGTCATGTGTGCGGAACCCATCTTGCACTGCTGCCAGGGTGAGCGTGGTGTGAGCCAGGAGGTGGTAACGAGGACCACTGCGGGACAGGCAGAGAAGTGGGCCTCAGCCGGGTGAGAACGTGAGGGCCACGTTAGACGGCAGGAGCTATAGTGCTGAGCAGCTCTGCCCCGTTGTTCAGAGAGCCACACAGAAAACCAGCTTGCCTTCCCCGCGGGAGTGGGGAACATTCACTGCGCTCCTGCTGAGCGCCAGGTCCTGTGCTTTTTACATATGCTGTCCTCCTGTATTCCCACCACAGCCCGGGAGGTGGGTGGCATTCTTTAGTTAATAGATGAGGCAGCTTGAGGCATAGAGGTTCAAAAATGTGCCCATAATCTATAGCCCATAGGTAGGTGGTGGAGCTGGAGTTTGAACCCGGGTATGTCTCCAAAATCAGCATTCTGTGCATTACTCTGATGTTCTCACATTGCTCCTCAGGGGCCCAGGATTCCACAGGTGCTTCCAGACTCCTGGAGACACCACCACAGAGCGGGCCACCCTCCTCCAACAGGGCACTCTGTTCTATCCACATGAATGCCTCTGCTGCTGCTGCAAAAAAAAAGTGAAGACCCAGAGCCTAGCTCTCCCTGCACTCCTGTTGGTTATCAGTTGGCTTGGGTCTAGCTCTGAGTGCCTCCCATGTGTCTGTCTACATCCTGGCTGCAGTGCAAAGTAGGTTCTGCAAGCTCAGAGGTCACCTGTGGCCAGGATAGACATGTGAGGGCAGTGGGGGAATGCATGGCCTTACCTCACAGCCGGGGTGGGGAGCAGGACGGGACTGCTCGCTGAACCCCCAGCACTCTCCAGCGATGCCCTGACACGCCTCCCAGAGGAGCGACCCAGGGAGCTGCTGAGTTTGGTGGCAAGCCTCTTGGGGGCACCAGCCAGGGCCCCCTCCTCTTCCAAGCAGGCCCCATACAGCTCCAGCCGCAGCTTGAAGTCTGGCCCTGCCTCGGTGCTGCAGGAATGTGGGGAGAAGAGAGGAGGATGGTCCTGGGGAAGTCCAGGGAGGCACGAGGGAGGGATGGGGGAAGGATGGATGTGGTATGAGTTCAGGACAGCTCCACTGGGAAAGCCCATCTCCCTTCCTCCCTCTCCTCCCCTCCCCTGTAGCTACCTCACCAGAGCACTGGGCAGAGTGGAGAGAGGAGAGCCACACAGATGAGGTACTCACAAGAGCAGGTGGTTCTGAAAGGAGATGTCCGTGAGGGTCCTGTCCACCAGGATCATCTCTGTGTCCTGAATGTCCTCCCCCAGCTGCAACAGCAGGAACACAGCCCAGCGGTGCAGATCTGGGGACAGAGAGGAAAACCCGTTTGGAGAAAAGTGCCCCACAGGAGCTCTCAACCTCAGGGCCACTCCCCTGTGTCCCAGTCTGTGTGACACTCACCGCCTTTGTTCTTGAAATACTCTGTGTCCTTCCACATGAGTGGAATCCGGAGTTCTAAGGGGCAGAGGGGTAGGAACAGATGTTGAGATGGGGCAGGAGATCTCGTGGCTGGGCAGGGAGCGCCAGGGCTGAGGTAGTTGTGCTTCTTACCAGAGATGCAGACGCGGCCACGGCAGGGGGAGCGCTCAGCCAGCAGCCCGCCGCCAGAAGGCCTGTGGGCAAATCACAATGTCCCAGTCTGGCCTTCACACACTACCCCACTGGCTCTGGTTCCCAAGGGCTCTAGGACCAC